TGAATGCATTGAAGCTAAAGTTACTAACGAGATAGGTGACAATCCGCTAGTTAATAAGAGATGAGGCATAAAGGATATATAGGAGAGCGTAGAACGAGATAGTAAGGAGCAAGAAGCCTTGAACTTGACCACTGATTCAGTAGAGCATTATATTATTATTAAATTGTAGTTAATTCATTCTTCATAGTTATTAAAAGAGGATATTGCAGCATTAGACCGTAGGTCGCTAAGCAGTATATAACAATCGCTGACTAATTTGGGCACTGGGTGCGCGACTTTATTTGGGCACCTAGGTGCCCATGTATTGGCCGCCCACTATCTAGGAAACCATGACTAAGCGGCTTTAGACCTGCCAAGGCAAGAGCCGGTAGTAGGGCTAGATAAGAGTTTGAGGCCCACTTGTATAGTAAGAGGGGCCGTTCAAGCTCCACGACTCGACTCAAACCCGTGCCGCATCAAATAAGCGTCATAACTAAGTCGATGGCCATGATTGGCTTCGAATAGCATACCTAAACTTTTGATGTAGAGATCTGTAACGACATATTAGTTGGCTCCTTCCGCCCGGTGCAGCCACACACCCCTGAACGGAAGTTGAGGTTCCCCAAGCGACCCGAGATTCCGTCATCATTGCCACGATGGAAACATCACGCGTCCTTTTCGTCAGAAATACTAGACCAGCAAGGGGAGCACCTTTTCAGGCCCGGTATTACATATAAGTAGAGACGGAATTCCCACTGCAGCCCCAGACCTATTCATCATTCTGCTAAGATCAAACAAAACGCCTATCAGTGTTTGGACGACTCTATTATATTACAAGTCCCTCACCATTTTTTTGGTATAATCTTGCCGAAATGGAACCAAGCCGCATCACACCTATCTCTTCGCCATCTGAGGAACGACCCGAATGGCTCTTCACCCAATCGATTCGAACAGGCTCTCTCCTCTACGTCGGCATTAAAGACTACTTTCACATCAGCACTTGGCTCTGCATAGGTAGCATCTTCCAAGCAGCCGCTACCCTCGCCTTTGGACCCCGAGCGCTGATTCCCAGCATCACACTGCTCGTTCTACGTACCCTTGATCTTGTATTCCAGAGTCTGGGTGTTTCTAAGAACCGATGCATGGATGGTGCCATTCGCAAGAAATGGTCTGCACAGATTCCACATGCCGATGGGACATTTGGCCCTAAGGCCGCGGATGAAGGCCTCGTCATTTTCTTTGTCGGTGGCCAGGTTAACCACCCCCTCGGCCCCCTAGCACCTGGTTCCGCGGACACACAGAAACTCTTTGAGGGTATTGTCAAAGAATTGGATAATTACTACGACAAGAACGGCTTGTTGGGTTATACAGAGTGGCAGGGCACTACGGAACACTCGGGCAACATGAAGATGGCTATCATGTATTGGAAAGATGTCGAGAGTCTGCACCGGTTTGCTCACGGTCCGGCGCATATGGCAGGCTTACGCTGGTGGACCGATACTGGAGCGAAAAAGTATCCCCACCAGTCCGTATTCCACGAGACTTTCATAATTCCTCCTGGCGGCAATTACGAGAACGTCTACTTGAACTGCAAGCCTTTCGGCATGGGCGCCATCACGGTGCCGATCACCAAGAATGCAGATGGCACGGACCGTGAGCCGGACGGATTCAGTTGGCAAAGGCCAATTGTTGATGCAAAGAAGGGGCAGCTACGCACATTTGCGAGAAGGGTTGGGCGCCAGGATCTGACTGCCCATGAAAAGGACGATGACGACATCTGGGACAGGACTGTAGTTGAACCCTAGGTTTCATCGTCGACTTCAGCCTCCTTCCACTAGGTACTAAGTCATAGCATGTATTGGACATAGTTGAAGGAAGACGGATGTTCTAGTAGCTTGGAAGGGGACTAGGCACACTAGCTAGATCCACATCTTATAGAGGGATTCAACCCGGGCCGTAACAAGAATGATCTATGAAAATCAATGATAAATGGGCCGCGTAAATAGGAACCGGGAAGCTCTAACATCCTCTCTTTACACTGGTAAAAGTGCGTTTTGCCTTAGCGTATAGACTCGATTGTCTGTTCATCTTGACTGGTCGTCCATCCGCGCGAATGACCTTTTCTGGGGGGTGACAACAGTCATGCAAGGATGGGTGCGGCAGAAGAAAGAGAAAACAGAGAGACGTAAGTAACTGAGAAGTTTTTGTTAACCTGTCATCAATTCAGCGTATGAATACGATTGAGGTGCACTCTCACTGGAAGAAATTTATCTAGCATGATTTAACTTAGTGTTGAATCCGAGTGTGATGACACTACTCAGTAAGGCTCTAAGTGGAAGGAAATTGTCCCACATGGAGACTTGGAGCAGGACATTGGTATTTTAGTTCAACAGGCATCATAGCCATGCTCGAGTTACTGAAAAAACCTTTGTTCCACGGCTCTAGATAGGAGAAGATAATGGTACCTTGAACAACCCTGTGGTGCTTTCATCCGTATTTCTTTATCAGTTAACAGTATCATTCTTTGCGCGCTGTCCATCCAGAGGCACTTCCCATTGACGATGTACCTCGAGAGCATCTGCACATTGCGCAGGATCTGTACGAATCAATCCCGCCATCCACACGCCTCCAAGGTGCTACAGACGGTACTCGATAGCCGCCAAGAGCAACTTGCTCGTGCCCAAAGGTGGGAAAGAAACCGATGAGCAATTTAGGGCAAGGCTGTCAAGCCGAAAAATAGCCTCCTGGCTCCTTGAGCATGGTGTGGAGCAGGCGTTTCGGGACGCAATTGCATCTCAGTTTGCCAAGGGAAAGTATGAACAAAGCTTCGGCGCTGAGTGTTACAAGGTGGCAAAGAATTAGTAGCCATCCGCTATTGAGTTTAGACTGCGACACGATTGCAGTCGAACAAAATAAGTCAATACCACAGACGCCCCCAGCATATGATGAGTACATGTGCGACTAAGAATAGTTGGGAAAAGACCCTTGTTTTTGAGACAAAAGCAATCCATTGCTCAGGGTCGCAATCAGACAGACATGGCGAATGACTTGTGGTTCATGTTCGTGGCTGAGCTTGGACCTAGGATTGGTCGCGGGTCATTGTGTGAGTGGGACCACGTGCGTTCCAGCTCTGCTGTAATACGGCCGCAAACTCTAGTTGAAGACCAAGGTATTAGCCACATGATCAAGATAGCGCCTGAGGAAGATATCAGTATCACCTGAAAGAAAAGCGTCTTTTTTTTCTTCGTTTCTTGTTCATCTCATCGTGTCTACCTGGTGCTTGTTCACGATCTCGTTTTCGTCCTTCCTCATTGTCGGCACTTGATCAAGTATGAAATTCCAAGGCTTTTACTGGGGTCGGAATCGCCAGGATCCCACTGAATATGAGCGTCTTCCCTCGACGAGCCCGGATGACTCGTGGGAGCCCCAGAGCATAGTCTCGCAGCAAAAACGACAAGGCTTTGGACTTAGCAAAGTAGCAGTCAACCTGTGGCGAACAGCCGTTGTCGGAGTGGTACTAACTGTGTACGTTTGGTACAAGAGCTGAGGAGTTGGGTGTACTACTACATGCACCGCAGCTAATGACCCGTTTAGGACAACGCTACTCCTACTCTATGCCTTCTCATCATCAGGCTCGACGCTCATCGATCCATTCGAAAAGAACGGCAACTCAACAGATAGCGCCACAAAATGGATTGAGGAACTATCATCTCTCGTCTCTCCTGTCATGTGTCACTCCCACAACGATTATCTGCGACCTCGTCCGTTGTTCACGGCGCTTTCAGTCGGATGTGTCAGTGTCGAGGCAGATGTTTGGCTAAGCAAAGATGGGAAAGACCTTTTGGTCGCACATCATTGGTGGTCTCTCTCTTCAACTAAAACACTCCGATCCTTGTACATCGATCCGCTGTTACAGATTTTGGACTCTATGAACTCCCCCACTTTGCAAAATCATCTAAACACCAACGGTCAAGGTTCTGGTGTCTTCGCAACTCACCCCAATACAACACTGATCCTGTTTATTGACGTCAAAGACGATCCAGCAACCACATGGCCTGTGGTCCTCAAACAGTTGCAGCCTCTTCGCGACAGAAATTACCTGTCTCGACATGAAAAGTCCCCGTCAGTCTCCACACACCAATCGTTTTGGCCTGGTCCAATAACAGTTGTGGGAACGGGTAACATAGCCAAGCGCCGCGACGTCAACATTGGCGCCGACTCAAAACGATGGCAACAATATCACGACGTTTTTCTCGATGCGCCTCTGGACTCTTTAACCAGCCCAGATTTCTGTCGACAGTCGGGCACCTCTTGCCTCATGGTTGAAGAGAACGAATTTTACACTGCTTCTGTGTCCTTCTGGCAGGCCATCGGAACCGTTCTCACGGGCTTTAGCCTGTCACAGCTGAAGATCATGCGACGGCAGATCAGAGCGGCTAAACAACTCCATCTGAAATCGCGGTACTGGGAGTTGCCTAGTTGGCCTATCTCTTATCGAAACTATGTTTGGCGAATGCTTGCCCAGGAAGGTGTCGACTTGTTGAATGCGGATGATGTAGTGAGCGCAGCAACATGGCACTGGGGTTCACCTTACATGGTCGAACTTGCCTGGGGTTGCGGAACAGCATCCTTTCTTCTGAGCTTTTCAGTTACATTGGCATGGCTATGGAGGAAGATGAGATGATAAGAAACGTTACTAGACATATGATGATACCCTGTGCCTTTATACCAGCAACTCGTTTGCCCTTGATGGAGCGGACGACTGAGTCAATACAAGATACTACAGTTGACCAACGTCTCTCCCACGAACAAAGCTGAATATCTGTGCAACTTTGTATCCATTATTCACATTTCATAAACCTGGGTCAACCTCTGTCACATGAGGATCAGTGTCATGCTGAGGACACCTCTTCTTCTAAACAAGCTATCTATCAGTACGAAGCGTTAATTCTACATGTTCGCTCTTAAGAAACGGACAAAATACGAAAACGGGCTGTTGTAGGGCAAAAAGAAAGTGACCAGGGCTCCACCGGGGCTCGAACCCGGGGCCTCGTGCAGCTGAGTTGAGGTTCCCAAAGCACGAATCATACCACTAGACCATGAAGCCGTTCTAATTGATCATGGACCGGTTGGAATCAGGATTCAACTTAAGAAAGCATCCAGTTCCCATACCCTCTCTCGTCATATGCTAAATCATCAACCTGTTTCAGGCCGACGGCGGGGGACGAAGTCCCTGTCAAGTTATCACCATAATTGATTTGAACCAGCCAGTCTTCTATCACCAAATTATTGATAACAGCAATCACGTATAGCCCAGTCCTAAATATTTCTGTTTAGGGTGAGCCTGATAGTAAGATGAACGTTGCCTTTGGACCAGCAGTATTTTAAATTATTCGAGACTAAACCTGCTCAATGACTCTTTTTGAAGGTGTATAGTAATTGAGAAGTTTTAATTTAACTAGCGGTTGGTAGATGGTTGTGGGTGACAGTTGAATAATTGGTCACCGTTGGCTTGAACGCTTTTTTACATTTTTAGCTTAGGTGTCGCCAATTGAATAACCATGAACTGATAACGTTCCATGACACAATTTTCCCTGCAAACCCTGCTTCCGCCAACAACAACGCAGCCGCAACCAACGAGCTGGCTAGGCCGAATGACCGCACGGAGACAGTTTCACCCAGCTTCGTTTCGACCTAGGTACGGCATCCTAAGGCGGGGCTGATGAATGAGGAGCCCAAGTCTTGAATAACAGCGCCTACCACAGCGCCAACAGAACCAGGGTCTATACGCCGTTTGCAAAGCACGACTCGATGATGGCCGGCCTATTGCGTCCATACCAGTCCCCACCAAGAAACGGTTACCTTTCTGTCGCTATGCAGTAAGAGATGCAATTTAGAGCAGTAGTATTGGCGTGGCATCATATTATTTGTTTCATATCACGTGCTGTCCTCGGGATTTCAGCAAACTTGGACCAAAAGTGGTTACCCTATTGTCGAAGGGAGGTATCTTGACCTCTCAAACGGTATCATAAACACGCTTCCCGATGGTCCATTGGTTGATGCTGGTGTTGGATTCAGTAGCTGCAAGGCACCCCGGTCAATTGATAGCCTGATGAGTGTGTATGTATTGTGTGTCGTCATCTAAGCTGTCCCCGCAGCAGGCAGGGGTAATATGTGCGGCCCTGACCGCCTTCCTATTCGGGCTGCTTTCGGCAATCCCTCGGTGGCCAATCGAGAGATCAGAGGCTAGGTCACCTGATCGTGTGCAAGGCTGTGTACATGATCCAATCTAACATATATAACCATTTGATGACCTTGAATATGTGTATGTATTGTGTATCTCTTTTCTGTAGCTCCCGCCCCTTGAGGTTAGGGAGGTCTAACTTTCCTTTGCTTCCTAATACGGGCTAGCCGGCCGGGGGCTCGGCGAGCCCTTTCCGAGTCGGTCCTGACAACCCCCTGTCTCACACGTAACTTCCTGGAGCCCTGGTGTTCTAATATGCCTCCAATTCAACAGTAATCAACTAATAACAACAACAACTACTACTACTATATGAAGGACATCTCGTTTTCTGTCCACATTCTGCTTTTCTCCACAGGAAACCACATTTTCGTCCGTGCACCCTCTATAAAAAGTAACTTCATCCAACAACAACCGAACTTCTACTGACTACAGTAACCATCAGTTGCCATTCCCGTTCGTAGTTGCACCAGTATCTGCTAGGGGGGTTTGGTTCAATTCCCCCTCCTTTTCTAAATACAAGAATAATATTGTGATAAAGGAAAGTGGAGCCCATTCCCAGCCGCCAATCTAAAAATCACCAGATCCATTGCCTTTTTAGGATTGAGGCTATGCAGTGTTTCAAGTTGAGTTGCTGCCTCTTAGCTGAAGAGAGAGGTAAATTCCCGGCTCTACCAGGTGAGTCAATATTGAACGAGAGGTTTTCCGATCTCTTCTCCTATAATCTTAAGAGCTTGAGTAGGTCCCTAGGTCCTTCGAGACCGACTGACCCCACGCAGGGTTGCAAACAAATAAATCAAATCCAAATCTATCCAAATCAAATCAAATTTATCTAAATTAAATCAAATCAAATCGAGGGGTAATTTATCTAAATCAAATTAAATCAGGAGGTCCGGATTTATTTGGATATTTGAATTCATTTGGATATAGCGTTATCTAATTAGCGCTTGTATTGCGGGGACGGTCAGCCCTACTTCTGTCTGGAGATCCTGCCCAGTTTGGTAAATAGTTTCGCATCTCGCAATTTACCTGCACATAGCTGTTAGGGGTGATTGCCCGTTGCTATATTATGTTCAAGTTGCGAGAAAATGGTTAAGCAGTTTGTCTTGAGATATTAAAGGTGCTTGTACCCCTCGAATTATAGCCTACTGAACTTCATAACCTCAACTCTCCCCAATACTCCTGCTCTATATAGCTCAATCTATGAATGTCGATTGCATAGCAATGATGCCTCTGATATCTCCTTTGACCACTCCCAGTGACCTCGACGCCCCCACCCGCTTCGATCTGTCTGATATGAATAGAGAGGTAACTGTAGATACTTCCTCCTCGGTTGACTATACCGGTTATGAGGGCATCGATTGGAATCGCCTTTTAGGGTATTGTATCTGTAAATATAGAAGAAGGCAGCGGACGGGCTGGGTATGGGAGTATGGATTTGATATTGAGAAAGACGGTTCTGGTTGCTGATTCTGGCTTTATAAAGAGTGTCACTGGAAGAAGGCATCTATCACTTATATATACGATGCTACATCTACGAGCCAAGCAAACGGTCATATAGAAGATATCTACTGCATTAATCGAGACGGTCCTATATCACCGCAGAGGAAGAAATAACGCACCCTCTTCGATATAATTGATCTAGACTTTCATCGACTGAAGGACTAAGCTGTGATGAACGCCTTTATAATGTCATTCGATCCTGTTCGCTTTTAACATTTGCTTATACGCTGGGTGGCCTGCGATAATGTCCTATTTAATAAGCTTGAGAGTCTGTACTTCTGCGAGCTCATGGGATACGCAAATAGCGCTATTATTAAGTCAGGAAGTCTCCCTACCTATATCACAATCCGTAAATGGATTGTACGGTCCTTTAATCGTCATAAAGGCGTCGTGACTATGCTACTTGGTCGCTTACTTAGCTGCGTTAATATCTCCTTTGATGCGTGGTCCTTTCGCAAGTTTACCTCCCTTCTTAGCCTTACTGTGCACTTTCTTGATGACAAAGGGAAGTTCTGTATATTCCTTCTAGGCTTGCTATAAATCGAGGGTCGTTACAGTGGTGAGAACCTTGCAGATTGTGTTAGTGAAATAATTCATGAATATAGGTTTGAGGATCGCATTGGGTACTTTGTTATAGATAATGCGGATAGTAATGATACATATCTCAAAGACCTAGCTATTGAGTTTGGTTTTAATAAGTAGCACCGGCGGCTTCGTTGCTGTGGGCACATTATCAACCTCGTCGCCCGATCCATCCTTTTCGGCACGGATGCCGACGCCTTTGAGGAGGACTGCCAAGCCGATAAGGAGGTTTAAGATAAGATAAAACTCTGGAGGTCGAAAGGCCCAATTGGCAAGCTGTATAATATTATTCACTAGGTATAAAGATCTAGCCAGCGCATTGAGAAGCTCCACAAGCTTCAGTTAATTAAGAACACTGCCTTAAACCTTAAAGATAAAACAACCTACAATGTCATCATAGATAACGCTACCTGCTAGAACTCATCGGAGGCAATGATGGAGCGGGGCTACCTGCTTCGGAATGCATTTGATTCCTTGGTTTAGGTAGAAGTTATGGAGTGGAACCAGTATGTAGCTAGGAGGACTTAGAATGGAATAAAGCTGATGCTAAAGAAGAGCTAAAAGAAGCCTGCGATTGTTGACGATAAGATATCTGCTGAGGATTGGTTAGTGATTGCGGAGTATCTGGCTTTATTGAAGCCGTTAAAGATAGCTACTAAGCGCCTGGAAGGCTGACTTAAGGAAGGTAAGTAGGATCTAGCTTCCTGACGCTTAGCTTATGCTTATAAGTTTAAGTAAATTCAGTGCGATCTAGGAGGTTTTATTAATAATGGAGTGGCTTCTAAAGTACCTGGAAGAATTAAAAGTGTAATATGAATGAGATAAAGAACTATACCTGCGGGTTGGTTATAACCTTAGCTGGATGAAGCTAGATGAATACTATACCCTCACTGAAGATAGCCCTATATATCTCATAACCTTCGTCCTCCATCCTGCCTTTCGCTGGTCAACTGTTGAGTTGCAATGGGCTGATTATCCTGATTGGTTAGTGAGAGGAAAGATAACTGTATAAGAACTTTAGGAAGAGTATCGAAACCTTCCTGTTGAGTAGGATGCGATATCTGAGCAACCTACTGTCATAAGGAAGACAACTGACCTAGATGACTTTATGGCCTTAATTAGGAAGCTCAGCACTTAGCCTGCACCTTTACTGTTAGCTATGTGCGATGAGTATGCGGAGTGGGTGGCAACTACCGATCTAGGTAATTGTTTAGTAGATAATCCGATTTAGTATTGGCTTCTCTGAAGGCGGCAGTATCTACGTCTGTTGCGTATGGCACTTGATCTCTTCTCAATTCCTGCGATATCTTCTGAGCCGGAGCGAATATTCAGTCTTGCAGGACAAATGGTTATAGCTTAATGAAGCCGGCTCCAGGCGGATATTATAGAAGCAGCTCAATGTATATCATCTTGGGAAAAAAGTGGGGTTATCTAAATAATCAAATAGATCCAAATCGATCCAAATCAAATCAAATCAAATCAAATCGAGGGGAAATTTAATTAAATCAAATCAAATTAGACGCTCGATTTGATTTGATTTATTTGTTTGCAAGCCTGACCCCACGGACTTGTTCTACCTAATGTAAGTTTAGGTTTGCATGAAGGATGCGTTAGCGTCTCCCTATTGCAACACCTTCCAAATATTGCTATGGCTGAAACTCTATGGGCCCTGCAGCATAGCCCATGGGCAAAATGATCGTTCGGCGATTGCCGTAGCGCCATCACTTCTTTCTAATGAATATATTGTACTGGGTCCACGGGCCGGGCACCCGAGACCGAAC